GATCTCCAAACTCCCACCCTGTACAATTCAGATTTTTAAATTATGGTATTTACGGTATTATAATATTTTATAACTGTTATTATTAGATTGTGATATTATGGGGGTATTTGCAGCAAAAATATTTGGGTAAATTTTAAACCCATGGCATGACCCACGCAAAATATGGCATTAAATTGTTTGTTTCAGGATTTCACATAGTAGGATACTTTTCAAAAGAGAAGGAGAGTACGGAAGATTACAACGTGGCGTGTATACTAACACTGCCGCCGTACCAAAGGAAGGGTTATGGAAAATTACTTATTGAATTTAGTAAGTGACTGTACTTAGTTTATTTAGCTTTAGACACATTGACCTTCCACAATTACACAGAAATAAATTTTAGGTCTTTTATCAGCTTTTATTACCATTTCATTCAGTAATTTTGTAAACAAAGCAATTTAGCAAAAACCTTAAAACAAAATATTCAAACATATTTATTACCTTTATGTTAATTATTTGTTTTTTTTTACTTGTAGCATTTACTAAAGATTAAATGTAAATTTTCTAACTTCACAAACTCAAAGATTTTCACTAAAATAACTTAAAGAAACAGAGGTTTCAAACAGTAAACAGAAACTTTTTATAAAATAATAATATATTATTATCGTCTTGTTTGTTTGTTATAAATTTTCACGATAATTTTCCTTTACTGTAATTTTTTGTCTGAAGAAAAATGTTTACGATCACTGCTTCTTTGTTTACAGTTTATCTAATTCTAAAAAAACGTAGCCTTAACACCCGCTATTTCGGCTGCGTAGCCATCGGCAATGGAATACTCTACAGTAGACTTTTTCTATGAATGGTGACAATTTCGATAATTTAGTACCACTCATTGGTTAGAGCATATCCGACGGTATGCTCACGGTCAATCAAGCCGTCCTATATACGTGTATAGTCAGCGTTGTGCGGGAGGGGAACACGCAACAAGAAAATTAAAGCTTCTTATATATATTCATGCATAAATTCGTATAATTTTAGGCTACGAACTATCAAAATTCGAAGGCAAGACGGGGTCGCCGGAGAAACCTCTCTCGGATCTCGGACTGCTATCGTACAGAAGTTACTGGGCTCAAACTATACTGGACATTCTTGTGCAGATGAAACCTGTTGGTGATAATGAAAAACCTATTATTACTATCAAGTAAGTTTGAGACACTGCAATAGATTTTTTTCATAAACGACATTTCTACTTTCATGAGAATTATAATCAACAATCGCTGATTCGAGACCAGTCAGGTCAAAGAAATTTTTCTTTATGTTTGTTCTAACAAGTTAGTAGAGTATTTTCACAAAAAAAATGGATGGCTATCACGGTAGTATAAACATCATGTATTATTCAATAAATATTCAATATATCCCTACTACGTCAAGGAGAACGTTTAAATGTATCTAAAGTTCTAAAATGAGCACAATATCTGCGATTCTAGAGGTATTGTAATTAAATTTAAAACAAACTTATGAAAATGAAACTATTTTTCCGGATTTAAATCGCGTATATTTGTTTTTCAAAACAAACCAACGCTTCGGGCCGTTTACAGGTCCCATGATCATTGACCTGTAGAGGGCCCGAAACGTTGCTTTGTTTGGAAAAACAAATATACGCGATTTAAATCCGACAAATTAGTTTCATTTCCTATTTGTAACAATCGCGAAAACCTAAGAACTCGATAAACAAACTAATGCTTTATCACGGCTGAGTATAACAAACTTAGTACTTACTTAAAAAGAAAGAGATTTATGAAAATGTATACTTATTTTTGTGGCTTACGATTGGTTATGTAGGAGTATCAAAACTTAAGGTTGTATTCCAGAACCCTACTTAATACTCAAGTCAGGACTTGAGTATTGCAGTGAGCACTGAAAATCATACTCAAGTCCTTGCCATTAGGGTCGTATTTCCAGTGCTTGAAATCATACTCAAGTCTGCTCAAGTCCTGACTTGAGCATTGAGTAGAGTTCTGGAACACGACCCTTAGTTTGTAGGAAATTCAAATTCATGTCATTATGGGTTCCTACAGAACAAATTAAAAGCAACTTTCATTGAACACATTGTCCTTGCAATATTTTTCCTATGAAATTAAGTGAACCCTTTAGATTAGCATTTATAGTCTTTTTTATTGTTTTAAATCGACGCTTTTCAAGTTCCACTTTTGTATATTACCAAAGTATTCCTTAACCTTTAACACCGGATATTACTAGCACACACGAGATTACGTAAGCATAGTTTTTATAGGACTGCCTATCAAATTGAACATTTCGTCACTTACATATTATTATTATTATATTACTTTATAATAAAGTTTAACAAACTAAATGTCTTGTGTAAGGTTGCCATTTGGTTTCCGGAATAAAGACCCGCTAACGAAGTCTCCAACGTGGGCTAACTCTAACTACTTTCAGTGAGATCTGCGAAATGACGAGCATCAAAAAAGAAGACGTGATCAGCACATTGCAGAACTTGAACCTCATCAACTACTACAAAGGCCAGTACATCATCTCGGTCAACCAGGTAATGTCAAAGGCGTATTAACGTACAGAATGGTGCAATTTCGAAGTTCTTAAGGACCATTTACAGTACCTCTTATTTTGTACTATACGCACGTCTTATCGCTTACTTTGCGTGGAATTTAATTCACTGGCACCGATCGTGGCTTATGGCGTGTTTACACAGAGTCAACTGCTACTTTCTACAGACTACTTAGCCTTCACGAAGGAGGCGCAGTTGACGCGCTGTTTATACCGAGTCGACTGCTACTTCTCCCACAAGCGAATTCGGCTGACGAAGACAGTGCAATCGACGCGCTGTTTACACCGAGTCGACTGCTACTTCTCCCACAAGCGAATTCGGCTGCGAAGGCAGTGCAATCGATGCGCTGTTTACACCGAGTCGACTGCCGTCAACGCTGAAATCACCAAGTCATTATAAATACAAGTTTGCGCACGGAGACACAACAAATCGTTCGACATGGCCAATTGAGTATTTTCCGGCCGCTAGCACATGCATCGTGGTGAGACGCGGCCGGCGACATGTTGAAACTTGTTTGGTCCAACGTCGCTTGCCGAAGGCGACCAAGCCGCTCGACAGAATTGCACCTAGTCAATTCGGTCGACTTAGGCAGCGAACTACGATCGTCAAACGACTTTATGTTTACACTGGGTTGTTTGCCGTCTTTGGTGGGCCAGCGAAGGCGCCTGTCGACATAGTTTAAATGCGTCATTACCTACTTACCACTTTATACCGGAAGGAATTATGAAATTTTACTAAAAAATATCGACTGTCTATGCAAAATACCTACTAGATGGAAATGCATGGAAGAAAGAAAAATTGTTTCGCGTTTTACGAGGGTTGGATTTATATATATATGTTCTAATTGACAGGTGTAACCGCGTAAATTCTGTTCTAGGATAATACAACATCTAAAATGAACTTGAAATTTTTACAGTTTTACAAATGTAGTATTCTATCTCAATAATCAATGAACATACAACCGACATTATTGCACCAATAGAATTTCTAATTTGCACCATTCTGCACTAATAAATGTATTTAATCCCTCGATTTGATATTCCTTCATGACCATCAGGAAACGGTACAGCAACACGAAAAAGCAATGGAGAAACGAACGCTACGTATTGATCCCAAATGTCTTCATTGGACTCCTAAAGATTGGTCCAAGAGAGCCAAATGGTGAGTAACTACTGATAAGTCGTTTTTTCATAGTCTTTTAATCTATTTTATTTTTCTGATCACTTTTAATCTTGCGCTGTACGTGTATACGTTCTCAATTGAAATTTGATTTAGTAACTTAAAGAGTAGCAGATGATATGCTAGAAGTTAATTATAATCGGAAATATTAGTCAAATTGTAGTGATACTGATTTTTGTTCTTTGCAATGAGTTCAAGTAGCATTACCTAGATATGTTTACAAAATCGACATCAGTGTTCTAAAACTACTCAGATCCTTTCATCGTCCTAATTTCAAGTATATTATCGCTTTTTATTATTTATCGTTATATTTTCTAACCAACAAGCCGTTAAAATATTTTTCTTTTTGTCACCAGTGTATGAACTGATTGTGTTTGGAGACGCAGATATCTAACGGCTTCCAAAACGTACGCAGTTTATTCATTTTGTTTCTAACTTATACGTTTGTCTTGAAAGTTCATTCCCATTTACTTAAGTTAAATCAAAGCTTTGGGTCTTTAGGGTCTACATGCTTGTCGATTCGGAATCGGTTTTGCTCTACACAACCTGTATACAATACAACAGTGTAATATCGTTAGCCTTCCATACATTAAATTGACACAGTCTGAACGTGTTCTGTATGCGTCACACCTTCAGACGCAATTTATTACAAACTCAGAACAGGAAAGCGGAGCGCGTGAACGCGTGACCGCTTCTATTCACGGAATGCCTAAATGTTAGATAAGCTCTTTATGAATAACTGATTCCGTATCGTGTGTGAAAAACCCTTTAATTTTGTTTTAATGTATGTTGTATATCGTTTAATGTAGCTTTGACTTGGCATATAATCCTAATATTAGTGTTATTTTTGTGTCAACACACGCAAATAGAATAATTTTGCCAGAAATACACTCATTGATTACATAATACACACATTAATTATATAATACACCTATTTATTACGTTATACACACTTATTAATTACGTAATACACTTATTAATTGTAAACGTAAATGAGTTTTTAGCTAGTTACGTTTTTGTTGACTCATCTATTAATCCATCATAAATCATAACAGCTTGGGTTAATTTCATTTTAGTAGAGGCACGTTACTATTGTAGTTTTGAAGAGTACTGGTTAATATGAGAGAGATTTCTTTTTTCACAATGAAAATGTCAATTTAAAAAACTGACCAATTAGGTGCCCCCAGACCGGGGCACCTGGCGACTAACTGCGTAAGGTGAAACCACCCAGTGACCTTAACAATTAATTCTCTTATCGAGTTCTTAGGTTTTCGCGATTGTTACACATAGGAAATGAAACTATTTTTCCAGATTTAAATCGCGTATATTTGTTTTTTCAAACAGACCGTCGTTTCGGGCCCTTTACAGGTCCCATGGTCACGTATACGCGATTTAAATCCGGAAAAATAGTTTTATTTCCTAAATTAATTCTCTTTTTAACCAATTTCACAAAAAGGAGCAGGTTCTCAAGTCGACAATATTTTTTTTTTGTACGTATATGTTACGCAATTTGTGAACCGGCTGATTTCGACGATTCCTGTGAAGAATTTTCTTCCACCACCAATTCCATTCCACCTCAAAGGGTAGCAAATTAGGAGACGAATACGGTTTCTTGGTTTACGCCTACTTCCCGTTAACCAGTTTCATTAAAACAAATAATTCCACAAACTTTTGAGGTCGGGTTTTTAAATAAAAATGTTATTAATTATTGCGTTACATTTTTCAGTTTACCTCTTGAATCACTATTTGAACTTGAATAATTCAAAATGTAAATGAAGTCTCAATGTCAAATTGTAAATGAAGAAACAACATTTAAAGTTTAAATGGCAACACTGAGTCGGAGGCATAGAATATCGTTATCACTGGGCATTTCTTCTTAGGGTGTCACCACACTTATCACCACGGAATCGCGTTAAGTGGGACGGTATAAGTTTTATATTCACGTAATAAAAGCGATAAAGATACGTATGTGCGTTTCGCGTAGACGCGGTCCGGGTGGAAGAGAAACAGCTTTTTCGACCTAATTGCCATGACATAAAGCCTTTTCTGATTGGCTTATGCCGATTCTTCTTTAATAAGTATGGTGTTCTCTTACGCACTTAGCCCGCTGTTTGGTTAGACATTGACATTTTATTCCTTTCTGGAAAAAACCTCATTAAAGTGTGAACTGCATTGTGACATGTTACATACATACATGTATACATTGAAAACTATGTAATTTTTATAAAAAATAAAGGTTTTTAATTATAAAAATCTTTTAATTCCACTTTACACTTTATTGAAGGCGTATATCGTCGGTGTTTTGTAGAAAGCGTAAGCGACATTTCGAAATTTTTTTCAGTTTTTAAATATTTACGTCCTTCATTAAAACCAAAATAGATTTAAAAAGGGACGTACGTTAAAAAACCTGAAACATGCTCCACTGAACTTTTTTTTCGAAATGTCACTTACGCCCTTTCTACAAAAGACCTACGATATGATGCTGACATTCAGCTTAGAACAAGTCTCACTTGACATAGAATTATAGATTCTTATCTGTATTTCATACAGTAAACTCCAAAACCAGACTTCAAACTTGGCACTTTTAAAACTAATAGTGAATGTTGAGTCTTTGAACTACATATTTAACATCTACTACAATTCAAACTAATATCTGCATACCGCTTTCATATTTTGAATGCTATGTTTAATGTTGTATACAAACGGCTTGGCAAAAGGATCACTGGGGTGTAAAAAAATCAATCACGAATATATTCTGATACAACATTTGTATATGTTTTCAGGTGAATCCACGCAGTCTTTTTCAAATTCAAACTGTAGGTATGGAGATTCAGCATGCTACATAGTTAAAACTAGGCCTTTGATAGACAGTTGCAGTCGAGATCTGATTATTTCCTTGAAATATTATAGCCAATCTTCCCTTGGGTATAAACCTACTAAATTGGGAATTGCGTCAATTTGTTAAATGCTTTTTCCGGTCTCTATTACCTTTTGTCACCATTTAATGGAATAATGTACGGGTAGTTCATCTATATCCAATAGTTATTTATTATAGCTAGCCCTATTAGTTACGAGTGCTCCGTGTGGAAGTTACTCGATTTTATTTCTCATGAAGTGTAACTCTTCATATTACGGTTCAGTATCGTTTGAGTAATACAAAGTCTGTACAACTGTAAGATATCTAGTACATTTTGTATTTTAAGTCTTTATTGTGATATTAAATGATATCGTCCTTTTAAAATGTTTGTTTTTATTGGTTTTATTACTGCCGTAATCTTTAAATAAATGCATTATGTTTAGCACTTTTTGATGGGCTTATTACAGTTACCCCTAAAATAATTATTGACAGTGGACGTATTTGTTAATTAAAAAGTAAGAACAATAAAAACTAATCAAAAATTAAATAATCCTGACTCTGTTAAAAGAGAAACAATATGACAAAAAAAGTTAAACAAAAGGTCTAATGTTCTTTTTTCACAACGAAAAAACATTTAGTTCTTAGAAAAAGAAAATTTTTTTATAGACTGAATTATATGTATAGTTTTTGACATGAATAAGATTCATGTGTATAAATGAATATTTTGTAACTTTATTTTAACATCCCAAGTTCTTAATCTGAACTTATAGAGTAAGCGATGGTGTGTGGGTAAGGGAATGATAAACGGCATAAAATAAATGTATATCTAAAAGTCAACTCTCCGATACACAATTATTAAGGGAGACACCACAAATAGTGACACGGGAGTCGCATTAAGCCGACCTTTTAATGAGATATGAGCGAAAAATACATAGTACATTTCGCGTCGATAGTCGCTGGAGTGCTCGAGCATTCCAGCGACCGGGCGCGCTTTCTCCCGCAGCGAGGCGAAATCGACGCTTTCATTCCGTTCCGTCGCAATGTAAATTGAGCCTTACACATTTACTCGATTTTCGATAAAAATGCGATGTCAATCGTCTGTTGTTAGATCGCATGAGTCGATCGCCAAAAAATCGTGCAAAACTTTCGGCACTTTCTTTTTGATACTAAGTGTCGGGGCGAATAAGTCGTGCACCTGGCAGTAATCGACACGCCTGTCCATAACAGTTGCAGTGCCACTCAGAGCTTTAAATCACAAAGTTCTGTGGGGCACTGCCACTGCGCCCGTTACTATGAGACACTTTGACAAGTCCCATGTGCCTGTAAATTCTGTCCAATGAATAGTGCACCTAATTTCATCTCGTGTATTGACTCGGTTGTAAAGAAATCTGCACGGATGATTAGTTTTATGTTTTATCAAACGAACTACGAATACGGATTCAAATCATTCTTTCGCTATTTTACTAATGGGAACAGAAATAAAAAGCTTCCATATATAATATATGATTTATTTTCCAATTATATAAAGCACAATAATTTTGCTTTGACTGTCAAAATATTCATATTCAAGCAGGTACAAGTGATGTTTAGAACACTTAGAAATAGTTACAATTTACGCATTAATAATTTCAAAAATATCTGTTACATTTTTAAACAAATTAATTAAGCAGTACGGTGATGAATATGTAACAAAATTTTATATAAAGGGCGTTACAAAACATAACTATGTTTTAACATGAATTAATACAATAACAAAGTTGATATTACATTTTTTATTTATTATCATTACAAATTCGAAAAATAAATTGGTAAAATATTTTGTAACGCCCTGTATCTGTAAAATAAATCACTTTGTGACAAGTGGAACCTTCGTGAAAATATTAAGTAAATTCGTTAAGCAAAAATTGATCAGAGATATTGCATTTACAGGTATAATACGTATGTATTTTATACCTATATTTCTAGAGAATTTTCTTAATTATTATGTTCCAAACTGCAGTCATATATTTTCGACGTCATCAATAAGTTTTCAATTTCTGATCAATTATTACTATGTGTTTTTGCTATATTTTGTAGGCATATACTCACTGCTTCGCATCCACATTAAAGTTTTATATGAGATGATGAAATTCATATCCAACCTTTATTATGAGCGCGTAGCTAAAGTATGCTAATAAATAAACAGAGTAAAAATAAATATAAAAAAATATATCCAAGCATTAGTAAATAATTAACATGTAAATATGTATCCAACATATATATTTAAAAAAATACGAAATTCAAGATCAATATGAAATATAAATTACAGAAATATGCCTTAACATACAACAACAATAAATCGTTAAACAAATTTAATACTAGGTAAAACTTACAACTTACCGATCGTATGTAATAGTAATATACTATCACAACTAAATACAAGCAGAGACGAAAATAAAACCGTTATTCTTTTTTGTTACTATTTTTCGTCACTGGTTAAAATATGTACATGTTTCAGAATAAATGATTGATTCAGATGTCAAGAAACTAACCAATCACTTGCTACTTGTTGCTACCTGACTGGTACCCAATAATAACAAGTCATTTGTATGGACATTTTATTTGAAACTTAAAAAACAAACTGTCCAACATGATCCAACGCTGAAAATTTACTCGTTTTTATTCCTAGTAACAAAAAATAATAACGAAAGCTGTACAAGGGAAACTAAAATTAATAAGTAAAAGGATTTTTTAAATTAGGGCGTTAGCTTCTTATTTTCAAAATTCGCTTCACGGTTTAATGATTCAGTATTTTGTGCAGTTTGCAATATAATTTACACATGTTTTTAGAAACGCTGAAATAAAAATGACGTTTTAAATTTGTAAACAAATCCTGTAAAGTTAATTTATTTCTACGGTTGCTTCTGTAGCGAATTATTAAACAACAAAAATAAGAGACCACGACATAAAGAGTCCACGTCTTACATCACAACAATACCTTCTAAAGATAATCTTATGCGCAAGATTACAGCGACGGTACATCCACACTACGAAGCATTAGCATAAAATAAATACAATGAACTTCAAAAGTGTCCTTTCAAAAACAAATTGCTTGAACCTAACGTTTGAGGTTTGTTTTGCAAAAGCAATTTAAGGGTTATAGTATAGTTAAATTTTGTTGGATGTGGCGATAATAGATTTTTCACATGGAAGAAATTGGTCAAATAATCCCCCTGTGCCTTTTTATTCTTTATTGGTTATTCGTGTACACTAGGTTGGCGAGCTGATGCTATATTACCTACCATTAGAAGTCAGAAAAGATCGGTCATAGGCATTGACTTACAATAAACAATGGTCATAGGGCATTACGTTTGAGAGCCTACTTTCATTTGTCTTTGCAATCGTTTGTCGACAAAGTCATTTAATCTGACACAGCATCGGCATGTAAAAATCTTTCTTTTTTTCTGTTCTGTTGTTGTTGTGTTCTGTTATTAAAACTATATCTTAAATGAAGTCCATTGTATTTTATGAATAAGAATAAAAGACGAAACTACGTTAACCATACGAAGACTTGAACTCTTGTTACACAAGATTTTTTAAATAAAACAAATTAGAACACCTGTTCACTTGTGATCCATTCTAATAAATAACGTTTCGTTTTATCACAATAATAGAGTCCCAATTTAGTATAACGATCATCTAAGTAGTGATAGCACCATGAATAGCCATTTTAATTACTCGTACAACGAGCTAATTATCGAGGCTATGGAATCTTAGAGTATATAAGGCCTTTGGTCTACAATGGGTCAATTCGTGCGAATGCTATATTAATTAACTTTTTTTGTTGTTTACGTAGAGCTGTAAAATTTGTGGTCATGAAATTTGTCCGCTCACAATAATTTTAAACTGCGTTTATTTAAATGTATTTTTGTAAAAAGCTATTTAAATTTGACAGTTGAATTAACGAATATTCTAAATGATGCACCTAACATGTTCATGGACAGTAACGGCGTTTACTGTAAAATTATGTATCAGAATATGATAGTACGGGGAACACATTTGCTGTATGGATGTCAAAAAAGTAACTATGGGCTTTACAGTGTGATTTCCAAGTCCTTTCTGTGTAGTGCCCGCCTACTGCTGCTCCATATAGAAGTATCAACAACGCGACGTACTTTTTTATGTGCGGCACTTTTTAAATATCATCCACAAAAATGTTGACCCGCCCATGAACGGGATAAATTTATTTTTCTTTTCTGGCGCAAATTTACACCAATGTAGCCAACCCACTTAACAGTCGCAACACTTGTTTGCAAAACCGCGAAAGCATAAAGAGGCCATGGCTTTTTATAAGTTGCCAGCGATTGAGTTTGTCGTCCACCATAGATGGCACCTTTGAATTGCTTTCTACTGAAACTGAAAACTTTTCCAATCTAACAAACTACGCATATTTTCATGGATACAAGCACTAGTTAGTGAGCGTTAAATACAAAATTGGGCCCTTTATAACCGACGATATAAAAATAAATGCTCACACGACTTGACTGCATGTGCAATCAAAGACTAGGCTCACCGGTACGCAGAAGGCACTGTCTTACTTTTAAACTGTACTTATATCACGATTTTTTATACGATGGACAACAAAATTACGTTATTTAATTTTAAAAAATGATATACCAGTGTGATAAGTAGTACTTGAGTGCAAACCTTCAAAGACGTAGTTTGGTATCAATAGAACAAGCAAACAAAATAGAATTTGGTAAGAACAAAGTTAAAATTCGTGTTACTTCTTTTTACTTTTAAATGTCAATGTAGCTATTTTTAAGGGATATATTTTATCGTAGAATTTTTACTTTGTTCGAATTTTGTACCAAACCCCATTTTGTTTACAATACCCAAAACCCTGTAAATATATGGCAATCAACTACGTACATGTTTTTAGTGAGAAAGAGATACTATAAATTTAAGTTAGTGTGACATGTGTATATGTATGACGATATTATTTATTTTTCAAGCAATCAATTCAATGCAACTTAATACCCAATAATGTTACAGAAATCCGTCCATCGTATAATCACTTCATTTATCTGAGCTGCATGGTTCAGTCTGCTATATTCTGTAACTTCTATTGCTAAATAGGCCAACATTGTCGATTTGTCGAAGATGCAAACACGTAGTGAATTACTGTGAACGATGTACTTTGGCATTCGGATATTCCTTAACTTAATGTATACGTACAATATTGTATGGATCGCGTAACAGTACAACTCCAGTTGTTACGCAATAATTATCGTACATTTACAACCAATTTATTAAAAGTTTCTACACTTATTATATGTAAGTGTATAAAGTGAGTAAGTGTATAGTGTGTGCACCTGTTTTCGTTAAAGTGAACAATTATGACTTATAAATTGCCCGTAGCTCAGACAAATGTACTTAGTTATTCGTATATGTTTAAAATGGTCTACAAAAATACTAATATTATGTTTCCGAGTAAGGAGTCACCACACTTATCGACAAGGAAGCGCATCAAGCCGGTCAGAAAAAACTTTATGTCCATGTAGTAAAAGCGGAAAAGACGTTATGTCTTTCGCATCGGTCCGAAACGTCTTTTTCGCTTTTATTACATTAAATTATAAAGCTGTTTTATGACCGGATTAATGCGATTCCGTGTCGTTTAGTGTGCTGACTCCCTAAATCAAATGGAGGCACTTTCAAAGTAGTGTTTTATATAACTTTTTATGCGATTTCTGTATCCATAATACTCTACGTACACATAAATATACTTTAATACAATATTATGAACAATGTATTATAATCAAAAATATTCAAAGAATTATATCACGTCTTACTCTGAGTTAAAGCACCTTAAATCTATATTAGCTTATACAAATATGTATAACACTTTTATAAATGTGGAATATCCAATAAACTGCGAATATACTTCTACAAACTTTTATCGTAACATATAAAATATACTCTCGGAATTTCAACAGGAGGTATCTTTGTATTTATTATTTTATTGTACTGGAATAACATACTTATTATGTGATGTTTGTAACTTTACATTTGGGTAATTTTTTTTGGATTCACAATCACAGGACTAGACTCTTACGGTAATTGTGAAAACATTATTTATACTTGTCCCTCGAACATAATTGCACCATTCCAAAAAACGAAAATCAGATCTCAAAACACTTATAAATATTTTATACAGATCAAAGCAAAATCATAGAACTTAAACGATAAAACAAATTGTAATTTTATGTTAGGATTTTAAACATCTAAAAAAATATATGTGAAATACCTACCTATTAACTGTTTCACAGTTTCATTTTGAATGTTACCCAACATGGCGACTTATTATTTCACAACACTATTGAAGAGTTAAGAAAATAAATAGACAGGGATTGAAGTATTTTGAATGGCATCTGTCTCCTCACTCATTCTTTCTTTTTGACAAAATTAAATGTGGTTTAGCCTTCGAGAATGCCAACTGAACTCAAACAGCTTTCAAATAAACTTTTAAGGCTGACTGTTCGAAATTGAATGATACAAATTAATTGTCGTTTAAAAACCTAATTATCTATGATTTAATTTTTATTCAAACTCGTGTACTCAATGGAATATCTCGTGTATTTACACAATATTAAATTTCAAAGTTGGATTTTAAATTTTTTTGTGGTTCTCCACCGTTCCATGTTGTTGTTCTACACAGTAGACATACGATTTCGTTTCGAAACAAATTCCCCGCCCCATAGACTTTCTCGTACAAATAAAAAAGATCCAAACAGAATTTACACCGACTATAAACTATTTGTTATATCACAACAATGTTTTAAAACGCGAATCAAAGGGTGACATTATATTTCGAATTATTTAACTTCCAATGCTTAAAATTAGACGTATACATGTCGAAAATGAAAATTTTGGACCCGACAAAAACTTTATGGGTGACTAATGGCTAGACGAGACAGCCGTCATTGAGGCCGTTATTCATTTTTGATTGTGTATCTGGAACACTGCCGGGATACGCGTGGCACTGTGGACCCGTCATATTGTAGTGAACTTCAGGATCATAGTAATCTTGCTCGTGTTCAATTGGTACAAGTACATTTGTCGCTTTTGGAAGGTACCCGTCTGTGGTGACGTAATTGCCATCAGAATTAGGTTGTAGATTGAGGACACTTTCAGCTCTATATTCAGGATCCAATATTTGTTGGGGCATATAAGAGCTGTCTAGAGACGCTATAGTGTCTATTGAATTATCACCGTTAAGTGGTGTGACACAGGTATAGCTTGACGCGAGAATGTTGGCTGATTCTGGCCGAATATAAGGCGATTGCGCTTCGTAGGTAGTGGGGAATGTGGATGGTGATTCGTATGTTCGGATCATGTTGTACTGCGTAGGAGATGTTCTTGTCGCCGTGTTGCTATGTTTAATACAAGACGCTGCGTGCATTGCTAACATGTCTATCAGCTGCCGCTTTTGAACTTCCAGCTCCTGCAAAACGAAAAGACATATAATACGTTGTACTATTTATTGGTGGTTTCAAGAAAGATTACAAATTTAAATAACTACTGGTATTAGCCTTAATGAGTTAACAACGTCAAAAAGCTTCAATTACGTCATTATAGATTAGATTACTAATTTCTTAATATTGTTTACTAATTTATGACTTTTTACTTTCTGTTTTTTTTTTCAGCCGAGTAAAATTGTCTTTATTTGTTAATCTGCAGTGCATCTCACACACCGTATCGCAAATGCTTTCAGATAACACGCGTGCACACAAAAAGTGCCACTGCGTCCGTCACTTTGAGACATAAGTTGACGAGTCCCATGTGCTTGTAATTTCACCAGCACCCTATCCTTCAAAACCGAAGCGCAGTAATTTATTTATTTATTTATTTATTAATGCTCACATTATTGCTTGCAAATGACTCCACTCCACCTGATGTTAAGTGGAAAGTGGTATCCAAACGCGAAGGAACCTAGTGCAGCGATGGAATCCTCACTGCACTAGCCGCCTCCACCCTGCCTGCCTACAATATGCCTCTTCACGCCTCGTTTAATTTATTTATTTATTTATTTATTTATGCTCACATTATTGCTTGGCGGCAGAAATTGGTAAGGTAGCAGTATACTTCACTGGACGAACTGTTTCACAAGGAGCTCTAATGCTACTGTTATACTATCTAGTGCGCCTGGTGGTAAGTGACACGCCCACCCATTACAGGTTCCAGAGCCACTTAGAGCTTTAAATTGCAAAATCTGAGACATAAAGTTGACAAGTCCCATGTGCCTGTAGTTTCCCATGCTTCATTAGTTTTTCTTTCACACGACAGACAGAGAATACTTTGATATTACATTCAAATAAATGAAATATTTAAATTGCAAAGTAAGAGTAACTTACTTTAAGTTGCGCCTTCAAGTCGATGTTCTGCGTCTCTAGCACCTCGCTCTCGGTGACAAGGTTGACGGTGCGCTCGCGCTTCTTCATTCGGCATTTCGTCGCTGCAATTTTGTTGCGTTCTCTTCTACGCCGCCGACGCTCTTCATCCTCGGGTGTTAACTGAAATATAGAATTAATATCGATATTAATATATTATCAAAGTTAAAAAAAATGAGCCGATAAGGACGTGGTTCATTGTCAAAAACCCTAACCGCAGTACTATGAAAATTTTGAAAGAACCTGAATTCAGTTACAATATTATAAAGAAGAATTTCACACGTCTATCTGAATCGTATATCTTTAATTTGTCCAGTCACTACGATGAGAACGCTTTTGATGTTTTTGGCAGGGTACGAAATTACCCAGATATTTAATTTATTTGACAATTATCACTTCCAACTCTGCTTCTCGGTACACAGTAGAATGAATACAATAAATTAAAGTAAGAAAAATATCACAAGATTTTTTTTTCACTTAAGTGCTGTTGCTTACGAAAACTGTCAGTATATCGTTTGTCACGTTCCTTCTTTTTGTTATGCCTGGAAGACGAAGATCAAAAACAAACTAATTCATTCAGTGCAAGAATAATATCCAATGAGGTTTCAGAACAGCTGACAATGATCAGGACGTAAATCGCCACTTTTAAAGAAGGAGGAAGCGACTTGTTCTGAATACGATATACACTATCATAAATTGACAGTCTCGTTATGACTTTCTATCGAGAAGTATTGTCACGCCCGCACAATGATATTGTGCGTTTGTAGATACGATACTTTTAAGCAGTACATTGTGAACCAAGAACAATAAGGGCGCGTGTACGTACCTACACGCTAAGAAATTCGACGTGTCTGCTACAGAAAAGATGAGAATGGTCTTGTACACGACAAGAACTTTGTCGAATCTAGCCACTAAAACATGTCGTGTCTGTTGCAGACGAGAAAATGAGTATGTGCAAGATATGAATGCTTTCAGGACGTGTGCAGGGTAAAAACTGTCAGTGCATTACGAGTCATTCATGTAGCTGTCTTTTTAGTACCGATTGTGGGAAGAAATATGTTGACTACTAAGCAACACCCGTCCACGCGCATAAACGTTCGTTTACTGACAATGCACCTCACCTCGCCCTATAGGTACAATAGCGGCAGAGCGCGTCGTGTCGGGGGTAGACAAGATTTTTTCTTGTCCGGCGCCGAGGCTGTGTACACAGTTCGTGTGTAGAAAGACGAATTCTTGCATTAACCCGGCGACTTTTCTTAGCGTGAACATGCGCCCTTAGGCGTGTAGAATAGAGCTCAATTTACATTACTGCGGAACATAATGGAATTTTCGTAACGAAATGGTATATAAATATAAGCATAATTAACTGTATCTATGTCTATTGCGTAACGTATAGGTAAACTTAAACTAGATACAATACCAGTAGCTGCGAGAATTGCTGAAACTGCGTGAGAATTCTCTGAAATATTTTTTGGCTCATATTAATTTATACGTTACAAAACTGACATAAAGTTGATTATTATGCTATGGTTACAAAAATTCGCCTTCATTACGATCCACGGTAATAAAAACGGAATCTAAATAGAGACCCAACCCCATTGACAGTCACATGTTTGTATGTGAAGAATGGCCGTTAAAATTGAGTTTGAATAGCTTGCACTCATACGTTTTTTTCATTTTTATTTACATGAGATTTTTATTGTTTTATGCACTTTAACAAAGTATGACGAAATGATGTAACAAAACTATCCATTACAGTAAGGTGAATGACGAATATGTTGCTGATTTTATAAGTAACACAATATTCCAGAACGCTACGATTTTGAAGCATAAGCGAATATTTATCGTGAATAAAGCACCAATCTTTTTACGTGAAAGTAATTTGGTGCAGAAAGATGGGTGTTTTATTCATAATGAAATCTCGCTTGCTCGTAGAGCCCGTAGAGATGCTTGGTTCAAAATCGTAGTAAGTATTCGTATAAAGGCAGAGATATATTTTTTGTCAATGGATTTACAGTTCACGAATATTGCTTGAAAAACTAGGCGAATCTCACTATGATTTTTTTTAATCATTGACTTACAAATAAATGGACGACGGGTCTAATACAAAAACCACGAAAGAAATGTCCCAAGTCAACCTATTCGAAATTTAAATTGTAATGTCATCGCAGTATCGCGCTGTCAGTCGAACAAATGAAGACTAAAGCGGAGTTTGGCGCTCTGTATACGATTTTAGCGCCTTGCAAGTGCGGACACTTCTTAGCGCGGACCCGACGTCCATATAATTGTAAGTCAATGTTTTTAATTGTTAATATGATATTAAACTACGGAACTAAAAAGTTTTACGCCTGGTGATAAGCGACGCGCCTGGTGATAAGTGACACGCCTATCCACGACAGTTACAGTGCCACTCGCAACTTTAAGTCGCAAAAAACTAAGGGGCACTGCCACTGCGCCCATCACCCTGAAACATAAGTTGAAAGTCCAATGTGCCTATAATTTCACCAGCAACCTTCTTCTTTTAAACCGGAACGCATAACGCTCACATTTCTGTTTGGCGGTAGAAATAGGTAAGGAGGCAGTACTGTCGTGGATGAACTTTTTCACAAGAAGCTCTACTGGTAGTAAATATACATGGCATGTCTGAAGACATTATAAGAGTCATAACACACGATGCATTTGCAATGAGTGACATTCCTCGCTCGTAAAACTTCAATGAAGCCGTTGAATTACAATGCTGAGTCGCATCTCATAAAGCCAGTTAAGAATATTCGCAATCTTCCATATTTGTCGGTTAGTCAGTGCAGTAGGTATCTTGAATGTCGCAAATTTAAAACTTTTGTGTTACTCACGTAGTACACATAACGGTCTTTTGTACTACACTTTTGCAATAGATATAAGGTAGAAATTCGTATTTATTCAGCTTTGTTTAACAAAATTACAAGAAACATGCTGTTAAAACCAATTATGCATTTGTTTTGCTTTTATCATTGTTAGTCATTCATTAATCATTAGATAGATTAGATTTTGAATTGTTGCATTCTTAGTCATTGCTAAGAAACGGATATTTCATCTACAAACGACATTTCGAATATTTTTTTCGTTAAAATAATTTTAGCTCATGATCAATACCAATAAAACCGACTACTTACTTTTCATATTAAAGATTAATTCACGACCATTTACGTAATATAAACTACTTCCATGCTATTGATCAACGCCAACTAAATATAAGACGGAATTTTGACATTTTTCAGAGTTACGATCTATTATATTCCTAAATGAGATATTCTCGTCTGGGAATCGAATTTTTAAAGGACTTTAAAAAATTAAATTAACGTCTCCGTGAAGCAAAATATCCTGTCTATAATATAAATACGCGCACGCTATGATGGCCGTTTTGACGTTTGTCCGCTCATCAAGTTTCGTATGAATTCCTTAGAGGATGGAAAAAAATAAATAGTTTAAGATTAATTCTTAACTAAGTTGAAGGAGCTGATTGATGTACATTGTTGTCAATAGTGGCATGCAGTAAAATTTATGGATGTATAATTTTACACCACTCTCGGCATTTGTTTTTCAGAATTCGAAATTTAAAAAAATGAAATCTAATACGATCGTCACTTATAAGATCAGCAACTATAGGAAAAGCAGTTTCGAATTGTTTTATTTTCGTTTTATTAAAACTTTTTAATCAGCTACCCCTTGCAATACTATATTTATATTTTTTTCGATAATGAATTGAGATTTGACCTCACTATTATTGTAATCTGTCAAAACAGCCATCATAGCGCGCCGGTATTTTATAGTACTCTACCTCCGTGTCGCGTATCCGTGCGACACTTTGTATAGATCCTTCGCCACTGTACCTATATATACAACTATTTACAGAATTCCAAGCTTCGACGCTATTGCATTGTTAAACTATTTCATTCTAAATTATTAGTTATTTAATATTATATCACTGCGTACATTAACCATAAATATAAACCTTATGTCTGAAGTGTTAAGGTAAACATTTAATTACAGTACCGAATTGATGAGCCAGAAACTTTCATAAGATTTGTCGTCGCAAATTATATTGTAGCATCTTTAAATGGAGAGTTTATTATATTTAGGGTATTTCAATTTTACATTTTATTTATTGTCTTAGATGTCACGTGGCATTTTTTTTTGTTTTGCTTAGACGCTTTTCTAATACGGATTTTAAAAAAAATTATGGACTTTAAATATATTTTTGACAGCTGACACAGTGTTACTCAATTTGTGTAGAGTGAAAACATTTATCTAAACGAATATAGCTCCATGTCTTATTTGTTGTATAATGTTTACTTCATAGGGAATTCTAAGTATATTATAAGAAAGTATTATTTAAGTACATAAGTACTATCTGTGTAATGTGGATTAATCAGTGCATGGAAAGCCAAAATATTGATTATGCCCTGCCTGAATGGGATCTATTCTCGTAGACCCCCATTAATGTCTCATGCACCTTCTACTCTTTTGGACTAGTAATATAGTATATGTAATAAGATACTTTAAGAATCGTCGTCAGAAAATAGTCGTCTCACCTCGCTCTTAGAAGGTTGTGTTTGGCTACTATCGTATTCATCGTCGCTGTCCTCCCGTTTCATCCTCTTGACGGTCCCGTCCGTGTCGCTACCAGACATCTTGCGTTTTGATTCGATCGACAACTTCAGTCCTGCCTTTATGAGTTCTGAGCAAGTCTGCAATGAAAATGGATAAGACAAGGTAACAAAACATTTAGGTCTTTAGGTATTCATTTTCAGGGTCGTATTCTAGAACTCTACTCAATCCTCAAGTCAGGATTCGAGTATGGTTTAAAGCACTCGAAATCATACTCAAGTCCCTGCCATTAGGGTCGTATTTCCAGTGCTTGTGTTTCCATTGCAATCCGGACTTGAGCATCGAGTAGAGTTCTAGAATACGACCCTCAGATACGTAAATATACATATATATTTATATAAACGTAAGAAACTATGGAAATAACTTTTGCAAATCAAAACTTAAATTGCGTCCATTCATGCTAAATATTAGCCCTTATGCACACGGCGCGTTTATAGCGCCATAGAGGCTCAGAAAGCATTTGTTATTGCATTATTGCATTTGTATCATTTCGAAGGCGCTTACAAAGCTGTACAATTTGTTCGTTATCTGTTTGGTACAGTAGGTAAGATCTTGTGAAAGTTTTGCCATTGAATAAATAGAATATTCCCTACGGAATAGGTATTGGAATTCAGGTATTTATGAGCAATAGATTTCTTGTAATTGATTAACAATTAAATATCAATTATCAATTATTTAAGACAACTAATAAATGAATTTAATGATTATGATAAACTCTAATATAATAATTAACTTTGTAAAAGTTTTCAAACTTTTCACGTTTTAAACTTGTGTAGGCAAGGCAAATATTCCACTTAATTTCCGTTACTATCATTATCAAAAATAAAATGAGTTTTAATGAAATATCGAAACTCACTGGTGGCACCGTTGTATTTGTGGGTTATAAACATTCTTGCCACCGTCAAAAATAGGTTTTAGTGAAATGAGCACTAAAACCGAATTATGGTACTTGTAACATTAACACAGTTTGTTTTAACTATTTCTGGCATAGATTTTTAATTACAGTTAGTTAATTAGATATGATACATAATCCTTAAGTTACTCGTTAATTAGTTTTATTTAAATGCTTACAGTACTTTTGATATGGTGTGTAAATTACTTAATGGCGCCATTTTATATTTTTCAATAAATTTATTTTCTTTTTTGCTAACTCTTAAGTCATCGCGGCATTTATTTTTAATAAATTTTTATTTATTTTAATTTCATTCCTAACTCACTAATTTTTGTAACCCTCTGATTAAAGAAATCTGTAACTCATTAGTCCCTGAACTCCAATGCCTATTCCGTAGGTATATTCTATTTATTCAATAAACCTTCACAAAATCTCACCTACTGTACCAAACAGATAGTCAACAAATTATTTCAGCCTTCATATTCTTATGCAAAGGAGTTTCGAATATGTGTTATTCAATAGAGCATACTAATTTTGCATCACTAGTCAGCCTATTAAAATAAAATTGTCCTCTGCTGAACACTTGTCTACAAAAGGAGAATTTGTAATAATAGCTACACTTAGCATAAATATAAATGTCAGCCGAAGACATAGCTGAGAGATGAATAATGTACTCCGAAGGCCGTCCAGGGTTGTTGCTTCAAATATAAAATTATTCAAGTCATCTACAACAAGGAATGTAAGAAGAGCAGTGTCTCATTCGATAAGGATATTTAGACAAAAATATTCACAATCGTATTTGATCAACCCCAGGGCGTAAATTTCTTGTAAGTAGTAGTTCTTATGTGTTTCGAGTCCCTTGGAAATTACCATATTTCGCATGCAATACAATAAACACTGTTTGGGGTTTCGCTGATAGAACGAACTCGTAACGAAGTCATACGTCAGAGAATGTATCCGACATAGCTTGAAAAATTGGTAAGTTGAAGCAACAGTGCGCTGGTTATGTCTGTAGAATGCCTACATGGCAGATGGAGCTACGGTAAGATGGAAGTATTCATCCAACATTGGTTGGATGCGATTTGGTTGGTTGGAGATGATTGGGAGATGTTCCACCGACAAGAGTGTAACTCTTAAGTTTGATGATGATGATGATGATGGTTGGATGCGGGCGGAACAAAACCGGGAGAGTTGCCGTGTTTAAGATAAGTCTTATTGTCCGCGACGCGCGCGTACGAGCTGATATAATGACGAAAATAAAAAAAGGATATATAAACGAATAAAACAAACTTGTTAATAGGTCTATGACTCAGAGTACTATGAAGTACATAGCTCTCGTTGTTATTCTGCTATAGCTTGTAATGATTAAGAACACATTTAGAAAAAAATGTTATTTATATTCTTCGTATTGTTTCTGCATATTTTGTTTTTAGATTCAGACTGAGAATTGCAAAACAAACTTTGACTTCGACCTAGTATTTATATGGTTGGTAACTTCGACTAAGCAACTTGACGAACCTAGCAAGATTTTCGTATTTAGTAATAGGAATGTTGCCTTAGTTTAAGAAAAAAATTACGACGTAACCTCAAAGTTCAATTTCATTTCTTGCTTAAGCTATTGCAAAGTTGAAGTTGAAAGATGACGATATTAATATGACATGCAAAATGTATTTGTTTTAATTTTTCAAATCATGACATGGCAATAACATACTATTAATAAAGAGGAGTAATAATATAATAAAATATCATGGATGGATAGAGTCACCAATGACAACGTATTGCGGAGGATGCACAAAGGCTTGGAACTCTTAAAAACAGTAAAAAAGAGGAAACTGCAGTACTTCGGGCACATCATGCGGCGTAATAAATATTCCCTACTGCGGCTCATTCTGCAGGGAATAATCAAGGGCCGCAGAAGACGTGGTCGTAGAAAAGCCACATGGCTTCAAAATCTTGCAGACTGGTTCAACATAAGCAACACAGAACTGCTCCGAGTCGCAATTTCACGGACTCAAATTGCCGACCTCCGATAGGAGATGGCACCCCAAGAAGAAGAATAATATAATACATTATACGTAAATAGTTTATTAAATGTAGCATGATATTTACATGCCAATTTTGATAGAGTGCTTCTTAAATTAATTATGTATGGTTGATTTTGAATGTTTTGAATAGATAGATACTCAGAATGTATAGTTAAAATATACATCTTTGAACGTTCAGAGCAATTTTGGATGCCATATTTAAGACTATTATACTTAATTCATACATAACAATCGAGGTAACAATTGTAATGAACAATCAATCTTATGACCACGCCGTTATTTATCTTCTGGATCGTTCTCTTAGCCCCTTTTGGAGACCTGTCTTCTATAAGATCTCTACAAAAAATGACGCTAAGGTATAGAAGCAAAACATTCGCGCATGTTGAAAAGTTATCAAGATTAAAGAAGATGCTAATGTCATTCCATTCATTGTCACTTTACCTGGTTATTCAAATCACAATAAAAGTCATAAACATAATAATATATGTTATGTAGTAAATACTTAACGTAGGTACTTAATATGTTATTTAACTACATGCTTCAACTGTGAAGAAAAAACAAACTTAGCAATTTAGATTCAAACAAAATTTCATTTTTAATACCGTCTTCAAAAAGAGATGAGTTTCTCAATTGGATTGTATTTTTTTGTGTGTATGTTACGCGATTACATCGACATTTGTGCAACGATTTCCATATTTATTTCTTTATTTCGATATTATTGGAAAGGGATCACTACTGAGTGATACCATTCAAATTTGAAGAAAATATTCCACCTTTCAAGGCGGCAAATTGGGAGATGAACCCGACTTATAGAATGTCGGTCGCTGTCCGCTAACCAATTGTAATGAAACTTAGCAAAGAGACGTAATTCTCCTTTTGAGGTTGGTTTTTTTTTATAAAATAATTTTAATTATCATTATAGAATACGGTTACAATTGTATTCGGTGCAAAAATTTGTTTGAGTAAACAAGTGTGTGAAAATCTTGACAATATTTCAATCAAATTTTGTTATTGCTTCTACAGCGCATATGAACATGCTGAAAATTCACCTGATACACGATATCTTAACTTACACTAGAGAATGGTGTAAATTCAATGGTATGGATGTTTTTAGTATGTAGCCAATAAAATTGTAACGTCACAAACAAGTATTGCTGTTTCTATCTAGGTGTTTAATTTTTTAACGTGCTTTCATTCTGTTTTCACATTGTACATGCGCTTTAACTTGGGAATTAATATTTAGGTACTTAGGTACTTGTTTCATCGTCTCTTTCCATTAGGGTGAGATGGAGATATTTGATTTTTAATAAAAAAGAAAGAACTTTGTTAAACCCTATTATTTGTAATTGGATAACTGTGTCGCCAATTACTGTGCCATCTCACTATTATTGTAGGTAATATCTAGATATTTAGCGTAATGAATGATAGTGCTATCTCAACGTGGCAAATGTAATAAAAATAAATACTTGTATATATGACAAAGTTTTTTTGTAACATTGTCATGTAAATGCGCGTGCAATTTTATACAATAGTAATCGTAATAATCAAAGAATTGTTTACTTTTCCCACGATTAAAACGTCCGCCTATTGTCTAGCCGAGTTTACATTGCCATGAAAAGTAGACTGAAGAAAAGACCAAACACTTATTCATAATAATAAACCAGTTTGAATTTGATCGGGGTCATATAATATTATTGCTAGATACTGAAGCAAAAGTTTTGATTAAGTATTAAGTTCTTTGTAGGATATGTATAAGCGGAGTTCATGCTCATTATAAATTAAATTATATATTTATAGATTCCTCACAGATGGCGTAACGGTAAAAAGACGTTAAAAACTAAAAACGAAGATTTGTAATGAGCATAATAAAATTCGTAAGGTTTGCTGTTTCGTTCCGTAGCTCAGTTGGGAGAGCAACAGGCACGGTGTACTGAAGGTGCTGGTTCGAATCCAAACGGATCGAATAAATATTTCTTTGCGTTCGATCTTTGTATTCATAATTATAACAAACTAGTGGAGTAATATCACAAAAAACGGTATTTTACTACCGTGATATAAAAAAAATAAAAGATATATTTTATTAAAAAAGATTGATTATTTAATAAATAAATAAATAACGCACACACTCAACATAGCCCCGCACTAGGGAAACCCTGGGTCGCGGGTGCCATGGACACACACATAGACAACCACAAATTACACCCAAACTCACGAGAGAAATAATTGTAGGCCATACAACTATTTCTCCCGGCCCGGGAATCGAACCTGAGACCTCTGCGTGGCAGTCCAGCATGGTATTCGTTCGGCTACGGAGGCAGTTAAGTTAAGTTAATAAAAAGTGAAAAGAGTTCCTTTTAGAAAAATGCTACTATGACGTTAAAGAATTTTTAGAAAGTAAGTAGAACGTAAGTTTTTGTTGATAATTAAAATTTAATCTCAAACTTACTAATTTTATATTTTCATTTAAGTAATATAGTAAATAAGATATTGTGTTTCTATTTCTTAATAATCAATTTTTCATTCTACATTTATGATGTAATTTTTATGTTTTTGCAGTGCCCTGACATGGCTTACCTACGTTGAGAACTGCCATTAGCTCTTAAGATTTTATTTGCTACCACATTGACGCAATAAAGATTACGACAGTGACTATAGTGTAAAAAAAACAAATTAATTGAAATATTGCTGAAATACATGTCTAATAAAAAAATAAAATTACAATTTCCTGGAAAGAAATTCCTCTTCACCGACGAATTCATTACATTCATTCGTATATTTTGAATTGGATACAGTTTTTTCTGATCTAAAATGCGTATACTTGATTTTATAAATAAACCACTCTCTTTCTGGCCCTTTACTGTAATTCTACTCCCGTGCTCCGACATCCATCCGATACAATTAGCGCCGTGCGGCGACCGCTCAGTTACCGCGCCTTCATGTACATTAATGACAAATCTGAATTCTATTTACTAGGCAACAACATTTAAATTCCTCTGAAGAAATCAACCGCGCGGCCGCCGCCCGGGGTGAGCGCGATGAAATTCGTGTCGAATAAATTCGCCCTAACTGTCAAAAAAGTAATATTCGACCAAACAAAAAACAATGTCAAGTATGAAGCTTCATTCGAATCATGCGTCTTTAAATTTGGTAAATACTTATTTCTTAGTAATTATTTTGGACGGATTTTTTAAAGTGAAATGTAAGTGCGCATTTGACCTACATCTCACCTGATAGAAAGTGACGATGAGGTCGACGATCGAGCATGCACATCTAAATAACGCCTATTCACTCTCGCCTTGAAAAGGTCCAAGTTATAACGTTCAGGGAACAAGTCTACAGGCAGGGAATTCCACTCCATAGCCGTTGGCCATATAAATGTGGAAGCTTAACGCTTCGTACAAATCTTTGGAATATCCAAATATAGGGGTGGTACCCAAGCCGATGATGGAAAGGGGAAAGCGGATTTATATCGTGTAATTCCATCGCACACTTTCCGTGATATTATATCCTGTAAAATACCGATAGCAGGCAACTTTACGGCGGTGTTCAAGGCTCTGCAACTTCGCCTTCACCAGTTCTGAGTCACCTATAAGCCTCTTGACACGGTGTTGATTGAATCCAAGGTGGCCAGTTGGTATGTAGCAGAGCAATACCAAAGGTGGCAGCAGTACTCCATGCACGTCCGAACATGTGCTTGGTAAAGCTGGAGCAACTGTCGCGGTGTAAAAATGGATATCCGACAGAGAACGGAAGTAGACTCCCAGGTTCCACGGTCACGTTTAAAAATAGTTTCATTTCCAATGTGAAACAAACAAAGACGTATATTTTGTAGTTTAAAGCCTTACTAGCAACTCTAACAAAGAACTCACTATGAAACTTTTGCACTGTTATCTAAATCAATATCACTTTTTGACAAAAAAAAGTGTAATAAATTATAATGCACACAGAGCCAATGCGGATTGGGATTCAAAGACGTGTTTTTGTAGTCTGATAAACGAGTTTTCTTCACAACATTTTCCTCCAATGTCAATACAAACTGCGCGCGAATTTAAAATACTCGTAGGTGTAGACTAGATATGAAATTCTATCACACCACTGCTGTCTATCTAGAGCTAGGGATTTCCCAGAACTCTACCTCAATAAGAAGGAAGTCGTATTTGCAAGAACTGTTTTATAATGGAAGACTTTGTCTAATTAATATACTGTAATTATTTTATAATTATCCGAAGTTCATGAAATTTCATCTATTTGCAAAGTGTCATTGAAATCGGTTACCGGAAAGTGCGCGAAACCGGAAACATCCACTTGTTTGCCATCCTTAGAGGTGGAATATTTTCTTCAAATTTAAATGGGATCAATAATGAGGTAGGTACCCTCTTTCCAACAAAAAACAATCATCAAAATCCGTTCACAAATACCGGAGTGATCGCGTTACATACAAAAAATAAGGTGGAATTGAGAACCCCGCCTTTTTAAAGTCGGTTAAAAATACGTACACAGTATAATACTAAAGTTGTTCAATAATAATCACAATTAATTTATTTGTGAAAACACAGGTGGAAAGAAACATGTATTTGTTAAAGTATCACGTGGGCGTGCACACATGGATTTAATAAGTCAGTCAGTAATTTAAACGCTGTGATAGTTGTATTGGTCAATTTTAATGATAATAATGAAATTGAAAAAAATTACCTAAATGTCAAAATAATAAAAATATTAACGTCAAAATAACTATACAAATGTCACAAATTAGACAATGAAGTTAGTTTAGTTAATGAAATAGTGTAAGGTTTTTTCAGACCTGAGTTGTTCGGTAAATTATTGCAATTTTTTCAAAAGATGGCCGAATCGAACTCACCGGGTCTTGAAATAAAATTCATGATTCATGTATTTGTACTTTGTACAAAGTTGTATAGAAGTTGACGTGTACAATATAAATAAATTTCACTATGTCCGGCCAAACATTAGGCATACAAATATATTGAAGATATATATTTACTAAAAAAAAACTTTTTCCGGATTTAAGTCGCGTATATTTGTTTTTTTCAAACAAACCAACGTTTCGGGCCCTTTACAAGTCCCGTGGTCAATGCCACAGGCCCCGTGTGAAACCACTAACAGTCGAGCGAAGACCTGCCATTTTACCTTACGTGAGAGGTGTCACACACAAGATCGGAAAAGTCCTCAGCCGTGCATCTATCAAGACCTATTTCAAGCCCAATATACGCGATTTAAATGCGGAAAAATAGTTTCATTTGCTATATGTAACAATCGCGAAAACCTAAGAACTCGACAGGTGTAATATGTTTTTTTTAATAATATCAAATGGGCATGCACATAATAATATGAAATTAACAAGTCAGTCAGTAACATAAATGCGGTATTAGTTGATGATCTTAATGTTGGCGACGAAAAAATATATCTTGAAAAATATTAATTACTTCAACTTAGCGTGTATTATATGAGAAAAAACTTCTCGCAACCTTGTTAACAAATTCGCGGATGACAAACAATGAAGTTACTAAGTATGTGTATTTAAGTTAAAGATACTTGCCATAGTGATACTTGCGTTTATGAGATGTTAGGATTAATAAGTAAATTTAACCTTTTGTATGCTCGGCGGAGTCCCCGAGGCTGGTGAAGTTGCTGACGACCCGTTGGACATAGAGGAGTTGGAGTCATTTCCGCTTCCGCTCTGAAACAAGATGACACCAGCGCTAATGGAACGTTTTCCAGGTCACTGCATTTACACTACATGTTACATTTGACTGTCCTCACGCTTTGTTACACATACGACACAAAGATTATTTGACAAGTTGCATAATATTTCGCGAGATTACTCTAAAGAAATACCAATACTCGAATGGGGCAAAATCTTTGTCGACCGGTTTTTGGGAAAAGTGGAAATAAGTTTTTCAGAAGAAGTTCTTTTTTTCTTTTTTATCATCAGCTCTTCCAGATGTCTACACAGACATGAGTATATTTTGTATGTACTTAAACAGCTTTGAAATATCTGAAAAGAACAGAACGTCTGACCTTCTTTTTTTAGGTGCGGTTGTTTTTGCATCTCTTGACATTTAGCACCTTAACATTTTGAAGAAAAAACTCATATAAGCGCTGTACTTAAAACCGTATGTAAATTGTTAAAAACCGAATTATTTATTTGAACAACTATACACCAACAGATGATTATCGTACACGTTTATTGTTGGTTCACGCTCTGAATTAACCCAATCCTTCCATGCGCATTTCGAAACTCATTCATCGAGACATTTGCAACGTAAATGCGATAACTAACTATAGATAAATTGCTGCTATGGCGCCTCAGAGTCTGTTCAGAGTGAGTAAATAAATACACGGTAGAATCAGGTGTATGACCTCAGCATAAACCGGCGCCAAGAGTTATCCAATTTGTATAAAGGAGGATGGGTCACGTGATGTTACGTGGCACCTAGCTGGCAGCCGCCCAAGACTTAATGCTCATTTTGCATTCATCCAGCCGCTGAACGTGTTATCTAAGCGAAGAACCTTGGCGCATTTTGATTACCTTGTACTTTACTTTAAACCCTAAAGGTGCGTATAGTAGATATACAATGTTTTGCATTGTTGATTTGTAATATTGGATTTTACATACACTGTCGTGTATCTCACGACAGTGTATGTAAAATCCAATATTCGTAAGGTCGTAGTATCCTACGACCTTTGAAATTTATACTTAATTTTGATGTAATGAAACGTGCCATCTCATAATAAGAGGCTCATATTTATAACCGTCATAAAATCTCCTTATGAAGTTTATAAGTAACACCTAACAATAAAAGTAAACAGTGCCTCACCTTGAAAGCGGAATTTTTATTGTAATTGTACTGGTCGAGAGGATTGGTCATGGTTATCACGTCGTTGACGATCTCTGGCGTGCGAAGAGTCGTCGAGCTGTTGTTTTCTGTTGAGAGGAAGTTAATCATGGCTGCGCTGAGGTTTACATTCACGCTCAGATTGTACGCTCCACCTTCCCCGTCTGTCCCGACGGGCGCTGACGGCGACGGTGAGGTATCCTCACACTTTATCGTCGGCACCGTAGAGCTCAAGCTCGTAGAATTCATTATATCCTTGTACGGAGCCAGCTTGGCTACTTTTTGGTTACGTTTATCACTAAAACTGTTAGCACTAAGCCTAAATTTATCACGATTAGCACTATCACTAGATACACTAAGGCTAGATATCACTGCTCTGGTAAACTGGTTTCGAATGGCACTTAAGTCTTCTTATTAAGAAGTCTTCACGGGTAACGTTCGATTCACTCGTTTTCACCTGTAAAGAAGAAAAAATCATTCATTAATATTATGCTCTTACCAACAAGTTTCTATCTCTAGATATGTGATAAGATTGTTTTAACTTTAAACATCCCGCAATTCAACCATTAATGGCAACTGTAAAAGCCTCATTTACTGAAAGTGGGTCAGTTTATAATGGCCGAGGAGCTATATTTACAAGCATTCTACACAAACAATATAAACATAAATAAGCATTAGCAGTATTTTATTTAATCTCTCCATAAAAATGGTTTTAATGAAGCAAAGGGCAGCTGTAAATGAGTCGGTGTGACGGACAAGCACTTTCGCAAGTCGCGTTTTAATTAGAGCTATATGAACATCGCAGCCTTGTTGCCAGGATGCGACTCAAATAAAACGCTTTTTTACAGGCCCCAATTGAAAGCGCGTCATAAAATTTAAACTGCGCGCGCTTTTTACGACGCATTTTAACGCTCTTCCGCGTGGCTAGTCGCGACAACCCGACGTCTTGTCTTTACCATTGTTCTGCTTCTACCTATGTCTATTGCTCGTGAGGATTATCTTGCGGATACAGGGCGTTACAAGGACGCACACGGATTAAGCAATTAACCGGCGAGCGATACCGATGTTAGCACTAGACAACATTATGTGGAAATCAGGGTGCTAAATCCGCATAATTAGAACATGAAACGTGACCGAAAAAACCATTACAAACAGGAGCTAAGTGCTTGTTCCATATATAGCAAACTCGAAAGCTGTCTGGCGCCTTGACCCAGCCGGAGTATCTGTATATCTCATATATCTGTGGCACGTAAACACAATAAAGCAAGTTGGTAACCTAGTTGCGGGATTTGCGTATTCCAATCGTGGAGAGAGGAAAATGTGCGTGTCACAAATATGGTTAAACTTGCGATGCACAACCAATATCAAGGTCGCAGCAATTCACGGAAAATTTATTATTTTATGTTCGCACAAAAGGCTAAGCGTTCGGTAACCGCAACTCGAAAATACATTAAATAATTGATTGTTATTTGCATGGAATACTCTGCGCTACGTACGTGTGACTGGATTGTTAAGTTTCATATGTATTAACACGTATTCATTGTAAATATTATACAGAGGACATTATTTTACCAGCTAAAAATGTTGTATTTATCTTGTTAATCTTAGATGTATGTTTTGGATAGGCTGATGTTTCTATTGCAAGCGGAGAGGTTACAAAAATACAGAAGACATTGAAGTTTTACGCAACGAAATCTCGACTTGTCGGTAGTCGGCGACTGCTTGTTTGAACTAATGAAACATCTGTGTACATTGTACACGCTACGTGTACAGGTTGCCAAAGATTTTATGTTTAGCTGTAAATATTAGCAGAAGTGTTCGCAACTCATTATGGATTACTATCTTTAATGAACTTTGCCTTTGATTGAGGATGCAGAGATACATGTCGTACTCCAAACTTTGTAATACTATTCATACAGAGTCGAACTAAGTAATTTAATCAACACTTACAATCTATGAGTAGATGCTCATAACGGTGATAACGATGCTAACAAACAAACTCCCACAGTGTGATAATAATGCCGACATGCACTCAATTACCTGAATGGAGTAAAGGAAAAGTTTAAAACGAAGTCGCCGACCGGCGTAGGTGCAGTCACCATATCGAATATGCAAATAACACCTGGCAGTAGGACGTCCGTCCCCGAAAATGGGAAAAGAAATATAAATGTATCCGGCCCAAGCGTGTGGGTAGGATTAGATTTTAATATACTGTGTCCAATTATTTTTGTTATGCACTTTTCTGTACGTGACCGTTCGATGAGTAATCCATACGAAAAGGAAAAATTCTGCCTTTATTAAAGTAGTAAGTAATGAGAGCATTACTGCGGTTCCGGTTTAGAAGTGTAAGCGTGCTGGTGAAATTGCAGATGGGACTTATCAACTTATGTCACAGGGTTTTTTTATAATATCAAGTGACGGGACGAAAAAGTCGTGCGCCCGATGGTAACTTAAACGCCTGTCCATAACAGTTGCAGTGCCACTCAGAACTTTAAATCGCAAAGCTCTGAGGGGCACTGCTACTGCTCCTGTCACGTGTCCCATGTGCCTGTAATTTCACCAAAACGGTGACGGGCGCAGTGTAAAATCTTTGCGATTTAAAGCTCTGGGTGGCACTGCAACTTATGGATAGGCGTGTCGCTTACCACCAGGCGCACGACTTGTTCGTCCAGTTACTTGGTATTATAAAAAAAATACCTACATCGAGTATTAAGTATACAACGCAAATATCCTTGGAAGAAGAAACTGCGCAAATTCAATGCCACAAGCAATGCCTTCCAGAACCTTTTATTATACTATTCACCCTCTTCCTTTGTTTTACTTATACTTAAACGTAGATAGGATGGGGCTGAATATGAAGCAAGGGGAAGGTATTTCCGTTTTAAAACGTCATAAGCGCCAGTAACTGGGACAAATGTATGGCTCTTTGTCCCCAGTTAGAAATGGGTAACCTAGTTTTGACCGCGCCCGAGCACGATTTACTGCGTGTCAACTTAATTCCATTAGTTTTAAGTACTTCATTAGAATACGTTAGCAGTTCAAAGTTGTATATATCTAATTTTATGAAGAAACCCGTAGTCGTGTATAATTTGAGCTATGTCAATCTAAATTGCTCTAGAAGTATCTTGAACGCTTTTAATGTTTCTTTAATGAATGCTTATGTAGTTGAACTAGTTGCAAAAAGATCAGGTAGAGATAAAATAATAATGATTAGTTCTGAAAGTGGTTGCAATGTAATCATTTGGTGCACTATAATCTGACGGCGTAACATAGAGCTCATTGTTATTCTCTACCAGCGAAGGTCGTATTTTTCAACAACTATTAAATACGAGTATAACTAAACAAAACAGTGTATTTGGGGAATGCTTAGTTTCCATTGTTATATTATGGGACTGATTGACCTTCGTCCTGTAAGCCTGTAAGCCTTGATCTATTTACCTACTATCTATTCAAGCATGGACAAGTAGCGGGACACGTATTTATGTACGATTAAAAACATTTCCAGATACAATAACGGAGTATTATTTTACATATTGTATGTTAGTAGTACCTATATTCGTTTTTTGATTTGCTAAATTACAGTTTATATAAAACTAGCTCATACACGCGACTTCGTCTGCATAGAGTAAGTATTTGAGCAGCCTAGTGTACTATATTAATTTTCATAGTTTTATTGGTTTTCCATACAAACTTGCATCTCCTATTTCACCCGCTTTAAGCTTTATTTTTGTGAAAAAAGTAGCCTATGTCCATTTCCTAGATCCCATCTATCTTTATACCAACATTCATTAAAATTGGTTCAGCGGTTTAGGCATGAAAACGTTTTCAGACAGCGTTACTTTCGTGTTTATAATATTAGTTAGGATTAACATTTGTTTACACATTCAGGCAAAAAGTCTGAATGCTAGTATAGAACACTCATTATTATGTAAATGGCGAGCAACAAATAAAAATCTAACTAACACATATTTATTTTCTCAAAAGTAATTCAAGAATGCAAAGACGCAGAAAACGAAAACAGCAAGAACTAAATCGAGAGACATATTTTATGGAAAGCGTACAATAAATTTGGTGGGTAACGGAAACGCTATAAATTCGGACGCCACAAAATTAGTGTGTAAATAAAAACGCAATGGAAGCGAGGGCCATTGTGCTGAGCAATGGTAGATTAACCAGACAGCGACAATTTACCCTGCTGATTCTAACCAGTTCGTTACTTTGTTTCATATAATAGCTCACACACATACCTACAGCTGGTATAATACTACTTTTGTATTATACCAGCGTTACATGGTCGTTATTCTTAGCGTAACATTATCGGACTATTACGAGCCAAGTGAGAAAACGACATACAAAATATTTAAGTCCTGCAGTTATTGAACATTTCTTTACATATACAGAGTGTACTCGTTAAGTGTGTCCAGGCGATTATTTCGTAAATATATGAGATATCAAAAATCTTTAAACTGATATCAAAAGCACGTTACCTAATTAATAAATCGAGATCAATAACTTTTTTAAATAAAACTTCAAATATCCAAAATGTTAACGTTCAACGCTCCCGTACATTTAATAGGATATTTGTAGAGAGGCTTTAGTTTCCCTACTTTAAAAGGTAAATTTACAGATAAAGAAAATACTATAAACAAAGTGATGAAACTATTTTTTAATTGTATAGTAATGTAATTTATTTAGTAATAATACAAAGTAATGTTTATTTTTAAGTTTGTACAAAATTTTGTATTCAAAGCAGTTGTTCGAAGCAGGAAAACTATAGTCCCTCTAAACGTTAAAATTTGGATATTTCTAGTTTAAAAAAAGTTATTGATGTCGTTTTACTCATTACGCAACGTACTTTCGATATCAGTGTAAAGCTTTTTGATATCTCCATATATTTATGGAATGACCGCCTGGGCACACTTAACGATTACACCCTGTATATGTGTTAACTTCTACCTTTTAGAGTTGAGTTGATTTTAGAGCTGATTAGAAATGTTCATATTGTTTCTTCCTGCTTTTTCAAGTATTTTACGAAAAACAAATGTTTTGGATAAAGTTTTGTAACTTACGTTCATTAATACCAACGTAAATCGTCTTTAAACACAACTAATAGTAATTGTTTCTCATATAGGTCACAATTCAAAGGCGAAGGCATGATCATTAATAACTGTCAGACCGTTCACGATACAAACGTATGCCACTCAGTAAGCATTTCATAGGCATACGATAGAGATCTAGTAAATTGTCAATCAACACAAGATCACAACTGAGATATTTTATGCGCAAACCTTCTAAAGGTGATTATCACAAGTATGTATCACAAGTTAGAAGTATCTTACCCTGGTACGACTTTGTATTGTTCTTATCTACACAGGGTTAGTTCTAAAATACTAACAAACTCGCATTTATTACTTACTAGCATCGTAAACAACAACTTTTGTTACATAACTTTTAATA